GACATGTTTTATTGCAAAAAGTACAAAATGTTTTTTTTTTTTTTTTCTCAAAATTGTCAACCTTTTTTTTTTTTTTTTAGCGGAAAAAATAAAAACCGCACAGGTGATCAAATACCACCGAAATAAAGCTCAATTTGTGTGAAAAAAGGACATAAATTTCATTTATGTACCGTATTGCGTGACCGCGCAATTGTCAAACTAGCGCAGCGCTGTATAGAAAAAAAAATGGCGTAAATTGCAGTATTTATACCATAGTTTGTAGACGCTATAACTTCCACACAAAGCAATCAATATACACTTATTGGGATTTTTTTTTTACCAAAAACATGGAACAGAATACATTTTGGCCTAAATTTATAACTAACTTTGAGTTTACTATATATTTTTTATAGCTGAAAGTAAAAAATATTGTATTTCTTCAAAAAATTTTTGGTCTTTTTTTTTGTTTATTGCATGAAAAATAAAAAGCGCACAGGTGATCAAATACCACCGAAAGAAAGCTCTATTTGTGTGAAAAAAAAGGACGTACATTTTGTTTGGGTGCAGCATTGCATGACCGCGCAATTATCAGTTGAATTAGTGCAGCGCCGAGTAGCAAAAATAGGCGTGGTCATTAAGGGGGGTAAATCCTCAGGAGGTCAAGTGGGTAACCTACATTTTCCAGCAGTCAGTTTCCATCGTTCAGAAGTGTCCCGTGTACATGGGGCCTTATTGTCAAGGCTTATCTGAACAAGGTGAAGTTAGAAGCTGATTGGCTACCCTGCACAGCTGCACCAGATTGAGTAAATCCCCCCCACTAACTCCAAGTGGTGCTTGTTACATTATATGGCTAACTCTTTTTTTTAGGTCCTTACACCTACATGAGCTTGTCATGCCAGAACCATGGGCTTTAGTATAGAGGTGGCCCCACCTTTGTGACTAAAGCAGCCACTCTTCTGGGGGAAGGCTTTCCACAGGATTTTGGGGTGTGTCTGTGGGAATGTGTGCCCATTCAGCCAATAGAGTATTTGTGCATTCAGGTACTAATGTTGGACTAGAAGACCTGGTTTGTCATCTGGACTCAGATACATCTCAAAGATATTGTAGTGGTCTTGAGGTCACGGCTCTGTCAAGGCCACTTGAGTTCCTTCACACCAAACTCATGGTACCATGCAGGGGCGTATTTACCACAAGGCAAACAAGGCACTTGCCTAGGGTGGCATTTTTCAGGAGGGGCAGCACCTCCCCTCCCCTTAGAAAAAGGGGTGTGAAAGAAGGGACACGCGCACTATGGGAACCAGGTGGGATCCAAGAGAGGCTGCTTGATGGTGTATGTAGAGTCTGACTCTCATTCCCGGGGATGTTCGGAGCTGTGAAGATGAGTGTCTTTTTCTCTATCGCTTGGGAGGGGGGTTAGTGGAAGGCTCTCCCGAGTGTGGGGCAGTGGTGTTGTTGGTCAATGTCAGGCTCTCTCTGTGGGAGGGGTAAGGGGGGTGGTGTTGCTTGGTGTCTGACGGGGCAGACAATTTTTGTTTTGCCTGGAGCAGCACAAAACCTAAATACACCACCGGTACCATGTCCTTATGGACCTGGGCTTATGTACAAGGCATGGTAATGCTGGAACAGAAAAGGGCTTTCCCCAAATTTTTATCACAAGGTTGGAAGTGCTCAATTGTCCCCTTCACTGATCTCCATCATTTGGAGGAATGTCTTTTGGTGGTGTAGGTAAGTGTGATGGCCAAATGTCCTCAAACTTCTGGTCATTAATAATAATCTTTTTTCTGTTAAGAGAGATTTTGCTTTATCCATTCTTTATAACTGCCGAGATACTGGAATTTATAATTACAGCCACAAAAATTCACTGGGAGACGACATAATATTTGTGCCACCTTATTCCTTGAACCTCACTGATCATCTTTATTTTAGTGAATGCGTGGAGCTTGCTTTCCTCCATACTCCCCTTGTACATGGTCTTCCTGCTCTGAATTAGTAACCAGAGCACTTTAGGTTTCATGAGACAAAGTCTTTTGCTGTTTTTCTTATGAGATGTTTCCTGGATTTCATATCTGCTTGCTCTTGCGGGAATTGTTCTCAAGGTCAATGTGGTGCTTTCATTTGCAGGAGGTGCCTGGAGTCGCCGTATCCAGCAGAGTAGATGATGGAGGTTTGGTTGAACCCAGGAGAAGTTACATTGACCCGGAAACCAAAACAAGCGTGAGTGATTCATACATTCTACTTTCTAAAATCTCTGCGATAATCTGTGTTCTTACAATGAATAAATACAACAATATACTGTCCAACCAGGGGCGGACTGACCATTTGGAAACTCAGGCACTGCCCGAGGGCCCGGGGTCAGTAGTGGGCCCCATGAGATGCCCCTGGTACCTTTTTCATAGGCTTTTTTGAGTTTGGGCAAGGACTCAGGGGCCCCATGATCCCCTATTGCCCGGGGGCCCCATAAGTTGTCAGTCCACCCCTGTGTCCAAGTATACTTTTTGGGCTGTCAGGTTTTATTCTTTTGCAAGCTATACCAATTCTGAATGCAAAATATTCAATGAAGGAGGTTTCGGGAGAGAAGTTTTGAAGTGGCTGTTCTGCCACCGTTGAGTGTTCTCAATTCAGAACCGTAGCTGTTGGCACCAATATTTCTTGGCACATTATTTTTTTTTTTTTTTTGCACTAAAAACAATATTTTGCATCCATACACGGCACAGACCTAGACAGGACAGAAGACCTGATTTTTTTTTTTTTTTTTTTTTCTGCTGCAGTTTAAGTGGAACATGACTTTCTCAATCAACACTGACTATTTTTAAAGTGGAATTCCACCCAAAAGTGGAAGCTCCACTTGTTTGGCTCTCCCCCCCCCCCCCCCCCCCCCCCCCCACTGCCATATTTGACACCTTTTGGGGGGGGGGACCAGGTACCCACCCCCCACTTCCGGCTCACTTCACCGTGGCGAAGTGAGCCGGAAGTTTAGCCCCCTCCTTCTTCCCGCAGTCTCCTGGGAGCTTTCACGGGTCCCAGATGACTGACAGGTCAATCAGGAGATGCAGCGCGACTCACGCATGCACAGTGGGCACCCGGCTGTGAAGCTGCGAGCTGTCAGCCTGGTGCCCACTGTTGAGATGCTGGCACCGTGGAGGGGAGAAGGGACGGTGTGGGTGAGTACATCGTTGGACCCCGGGACAGGTAAGTATGTGTTTATGAAAAGTCAGCAGCTACAGTTTTTGTAGCTGTTGAATTTTAATAAGCACAAAAATGTCTGGAACGCCCCTTTGATCCGTATGCTGCTAGCATGAGTAAATAGGAAAGTATATTCTATATACTTATCTTTTTTTTTTTTTTTTTACATTTCTTCAGTTATTTCCTGGTTTCCATGCCTAGGCAAATGATGTCATGCATCCCAGGAGTCTTCAGGAGGGGAGTGGAGGTTCCCAGCTCAGCCTATGCCTGAGTTAAAGCGGAGTTCCACTCACCCTGTCAAAAAATAAGTCAGCAGCTACAAAAACTGCAGCTGCTGACTTTTAAAAAAAAAAAACAGCCACTTACCTGTCCCTCGGTCCTGTGGTGTGTCCCCCACAGCCCATTTCACCGGCCGTCCTCTCTACCTGGAGGGCACCCAGTTGTGACAGCTTGCGGCTTCACAGCCGGGTACCCACTGCGCATGTGCGAGTAGCGCTGCGCTTCGCGAATGGTCCTGTAGTCTTCTGGGACCTGTCACGTGTCCCAAAAGACTACGGGGAGGGAGGAAGGACAGCATCCGCTTCCGATCGCCTAGGCCAGGAGTAGGCAACCTGCGGCTCTCTAGCTGTTGTGGAACTACATTTCCCATGAGGCATTGCAAAGATTACAAAACTGACAGTTACAGCTATGACTTGCAGAGGCATGATGGAACTTGTAGTCCTGCGGCTCTCAGGTTGCCTACCCCTGGCCTAGGCGATCGGACCGGAAGTGAGAGCGGGTACCTGTCAAATTCGGGTACCCGCTCCCCCCGCCAATCCTTAATGGGGAGCGGGGGAGCAGTCCTTAAAGCGGAACTTCCCCTTTTGGGTGGAGCTCCGCTTTAAAAGCAGATGGTTTCCAGGAAGTAAATGATACATGAATCACCTGCTCTTACTTAAGATGGCCACTGCCAGACGTGCCAGGGGGTGTTTTTCTAAATGATTTCTCATGGATGGATGGTTGAGTTTACTTTGAATATTAGAAAAAAAAATTAAATAACATTTTAGTTTGTGATGCCCAAATGCAGTGCAGTTCCAGTGCAGTAATAACTACAGGTCTTGTCCCTCCCCCGCAGGCTGTGTTTGGACACTGAATGATGAGCTCACCTGTCACTCTGCTCTCTCCTTCTAGCAGCGTTTTCCTTGTTGCCACATGAGCACTGCTGCATAATTGGTTCTTTGTGCTGCTTCTCCCTCTCCCAGTCTGATCTTCTGTACATGGACTGCAAGAGGTGGTTATCAAATCCAGATGCTGACTCTGCTTTTATTTTAAAAAAATTACGACATTGAGTGACATAATGGATAGAGAGCCGCACTCATTTGTGTCTTCTATATCTAATTGGTGTTCTACTATAAAGTGAACGTTGCCCATGCAGGACATTGCAGCCGGCTTACTTGCCTTCCTTTTACTTGCCCACTGTTCCATTCAGTAGCCCAGAGTGTCTCTCCACGTTGTGACTTTCTTCATTTCCCATTGTGACAATGATTGCGTGCCTGAGTGACCAAGTGCCACAGAGTGACAGAGGGAAGCAGGCCACATGCACCAGGTTTTTCTGCATTCCCAGAACACAGCAACTGACAGTTGTGCCGGGGACACAGCAACTGACAGTTGTGCCGGGGACACAGCAACTGACAGTTGTACCGGGGACACAGCAACTGACAGTTGTACCGGGGACACAGCAACTGACAGTTGTACCGGGGACACAGCAACTGACAGTTGTACCGGGACACAGCAACTGACAGTTGTACCGGAACCTCTTCTGTACTGAAATGGCTTCCTCTGATTTCACTGCACACCAGGGGCGGACTGACAACTCATGGGGCCCCCGGGCTATAGGGGATCATGGGGCCCCTGTGACCTTGCCCAAACTCAAAAAAACCTATGAAAAAGGTACCAGGGGCATCTCTTGGGGCCCCCTACTGACCCCGGGCAGTGCCTCCAAATGGTCAGTTTCCAAATGGTCAGTCCGCCCCTGCTGCACACTGTGAGCTTCTTACAGTGTGCATTAGAGGCTGCAGCAAGTCAGATAGAGCTCCGCCTAATTTCCTGGCTGGAGGACATCCAGCAGCATCTAACACTTTCCTTCCCAGCCTGACTTTTCCTAGCCCACCCCTTTTTTATTCATTGTATTTCAGTTCATGGAGAGGCAGCATTACATGTGGGCATTACCCAGGGTGACCAGGAAGCACATGTATGCTTAGGACCCCCTACTCCTCCAGGCTGACATCCAGCATTCATGGCATTTTGATATTTGCACAGCTGCTCCAAGGAGAACAGCCCACTGATCATACCAGGGCTGAGGCAGGGTGCTGTGATGTTTTCAGGAAGCATATATACAGCAGGCTGCCGGCCCCTCCCAGTAGCCATGATCTGCCTGCATTGTATAGTGAAGCACTGAGACCCAGTGATGTCACTGGGTCTAAAAGAAGACGTAGTGAAAATGGAAAGGATTTATTTAAAATTTTCATATTCATGAGGGGGGGGGGGAGGAACCAGTGAAGGCAAACTGTAAGCAGATTAAACTTCATCTCTATGTAAGCCTTAATAACAATATAAGACCTTTCAGATATTCCTTTGGGATTAAGCTGCACATCTGTGTGGTACAATAAAGGATTAAACCATTCCTGCACCCCTTAGTGTAACTAATGAGCCCTGCAAGGTAGTAATATGGGTAGGAAGATGACAGTGAGGCTGTATCAGGAAAGATTGATTGCAGCTGATCCTTGGGGGACTTATGAATGTCGCTCAATGGCTCTTGATAGTGTGAGAATACACACCATTATCCTCTGCAGTCACCAGGGATATGGGGGCTGGTTGAGGCTCATTTTGTCCTATATGACTGCAAAGAGCAAGTAAATCTTCATTACAGAAGTCTGATTTCACTGAAGAACTGGATCCAACAAGGGAAGATGTTCAGCTTTACTGATAGCAGCCTAGCAGATGTGTGTTCAAAGGATAGGTAGTTTGGAGTGGTGACATTAAAGAGGAACTTCAGCCAGGGAATATTACCCTAACTAATTGAAAAAAAACAAAAAAGGAGGTATAATTATTAACCTCCCTAGCGGTCTGATTATGTCCATATTTCTGTGCTCAAAGTGGTACATTTTTTTGCATGGAAATATGTATTTTTTTTATTGTAGACCTGTAATTTTTAGAAATAACTCACTGAAATCTGTCCGAACAAGGAGTCTATTAGACATCCCGGGTATGTTAAAATTTGAAACACGAAATCATAAATTATAATATAATAAATAATCATAAAAAATAATAATAATAAATTTAATTCAATCTAATCAAACCAAAAACACTGAAATTGAAATAGAGCGCCAAGTTCGCACATCGCTGAGCAAAGTCGCAGAATCGTTTTCAGTGTCTGATGAGGAATTTCCCCCACGAATCATTATCACTCAATTCTGCAAGTGGTTCTGATTTACTATCGCTGTTCTCTAGCCGGTCTAAAACCGCTTTTGACCTAAAGGGACACTTTTTGGACGCCATGGAGGTTTCTCAGTTTCCAAGACAGAAAGAACAGTAAGAATGCAGGCAGGGCGCCGGACAAAGCACTCGGGACAAAATGTATGTGAATGGTTTGATACAGGAATGTTATACTATGTGATTTTAGTGTATTTAGTGAATGTCACTTTTTCACATTTTTGAATTTCCCGCCGTTCCGTCCCCCATATGTCCCGACGTCGCAGGGAACAGAACCCAGAAGACAGATGTCGGCATCGGCTGGAGGACATGGCCGGGGACACTGCAGGGGGGACATCGCAGGAGCGAAAGGACAAGGTAAGTGAAGAAGAGATCCCAGAGCAACGCTGCAGTGTATTCCCGAGTGTAGCTCGGGGTTACCGCTTGTGGTGCTGAAACTTTACCCCAAGCTACACTCGGGAATACCTCCAGGGGGGTTAATGGGTTCCGCTACACACCAGTAGTGTTGTCCAGTAACCAAAAAAACCAATGAAACTGAAGAATATGTGAACAGGACGTTCACAAAAAAAAGCGGTTACAGAAAAGGGCAATGCGGTAAACCAACACATAAATGTTATCATGTTTCACATGACTGTCATATGCCTTTAAGTGTTCTCTATATTTTCTCTCTGCTCCTCCCTTTCCTCTGGTTTAGTTCATGTTGTATAGATAGCCCCACCCTTTTTCCCAGTAAGGCATTGCAGCTTCTAGCCTCATGTCATAAGAAGATCACATTATGATCTTTTGACCTTTCATTGTTGTAAGATTCTCTCAGTTTATGGAATAAACTTCACAAAATCTACAAGATTTCTTCTGGATTGAGTCAGTGTGTAATGGAACCGGACCCCGACTGCACTTGGGTACTTCCGTTAGACTCCCGCTTCCCTGTCCAAACACAGATCCACGGACACCACCGCTAACCACACAGGACTACAAGACGAGACAGCACCAGACTTAAGGAAACCAGGAGATAGACTGCTTTATTTTAACACAGACACAAGATATAAACATTCAAGTGTACAACCCACCTCACTGCATATGGACACAGCAGGGCAAACCAAATCTAGCAACCAGAGACACACACCAACAACAGTCCCATCAGGAGGGCTGCTGGAAACACCCCTCACCAAGCCAATACACAAACACATAAATCCCATAATAGTTTGCTCCCAAGACACACAATAGAACAATGGGACCACATGGCAGTAAACAATAAACAACCCCCCACCCTAATATTAGAACATTTCACCCTGTACCCCTAACAAGCACAGGGTGACTTACACATAATAGGGATATGGGGAGCTGAGACAGGGGTCTCCCCACCCCTCCAAAGGGGTCTGTGTTCCATGGGCCCCCCACCCAAAGTCACTCCCGTCACACACTGCCTGTGTCATTCAACTAAGATTGGAGTTATCGCTATCTCATCAGAACTGTAAGTTACAGAGATCACACTTTCAATGCTTAGATTGGAGAGACAGAACACAAGTGTATGCTTTATTATCAAAATGTGCAAAGTATACAAATACAATAAAAAATACTGCAAGATGACAATCGCCTCACCCCAGACAACGTTGTCTGTGCGACCTAATAGAGGTATAAAATAGACATAGCATGGCCATAATGATGCTAAAATGACAACAACAGCACTGTGTTCTGCCAACTAGCAACAATAACATCAGGGTGCACCACCTGGTATATATAGTCATCCAATGTAACCAGCTGGATATACAAATATAGTCAATAAACAGAAGTGATGGACGAATATATTGCCCTATTCCCCCCCCCCCCCCCCCCCCCCCTGTTCTCTTCCACATTTTCACCTTTGAAAATCTGGCACGTGCAGATGTGCTATAGATCTTAGGGACCTGAAAAGATATCCGCGACACATCTGCACACGCAGAGCACTCCTGCGCAGCAAAATACTGCCTCGTGGCATGTGTGATGTAGACATCCTAAGAGGCAGCAGGTGCTGAAGTCATTCTGCTGCAGGTCTGCAGCACATCTGCACACACATGAGCCACTCCTGTGCATGTGCACGCACTGCTGGTTTCTGGTATTGGACCTGGTACAGGTCTGTGGTGTGTGCGTGCATGTGGAATTTCACAGAATTTATAAAGCTTGTCTGTGAGTTTAGAAAAAAGGGTCAGAGAGCTGGCATTACACACTGCAGAGCTCAGTGAGGAAAGCTCTGAGAGCTGATTGGAGGGAAGAGACACACCCCCCCTCACAACTCACAGGAACAGAGCTGAGACTGTCAATCTACTGAAGGTCCCTCCCTTGTCACCATTTTTCTCTTGGTGTCAGGAAAACTTTTCAGAAGTGATTCATGCTAATAGAAGAGGAACGAAGAAGAAGACCGAAATGAAACTTCGGGGTTGATTTACTAAAGGCAAATAGACTGTGTACCATGCAAGGTACAGTTGTGCTCTGCAAGTGAAATTGCTCCAGAGCTTTGTAAATGAGATAAAGATTCACTTTGCAAGGAATACCCAATCACATGCTGGGAAAATTAAAATAAATAAAAGCACTTTTGCTTGCACATGATTGGATGATGGAAGTCAGCAGAACTTTTGCTCATTGATTAAGCTCTGGAAACTACTGCACTTGCAGAGTGCAGTCTATTTGCCTTTAGTAAACCAAGTGCCCTTAACCCTAGGATCACATCTGTGCGGGTGGTGCCGCTTCGGATCCGCACGAAAATCCGTGCAGCCGCACCACCCACACAGAGGAATGCGGACCCGCTGTCGGGTGCCATTAGTTCTAATGGAACACCGCCCGCACTGGAAAATTCAACCGTACTGGGAACCAAGGTTCCCGTGCGGGCTTCGTTTTCTAAAGAAGTGCAGGGACTTCTTCCCTGCGTGTCACGGACACGGGAGTCCATTCAAATGAATGTGCTCTTGTGCCCGAGCAAAACACAGCCCACGCGGCCGCATAGATGTGAACCGGGGGTCATAGAGAAAAGTACACACTATAGAGGGATATGCTGTGTTCATATTTCACGTCCGAGGTTTGCAAACACTGTAAGGCTTTAGAGCCACTTTTATGCTACAGAAACATTTTAGACAATTGTGTGCCTCCAACTTTGTGGTAGCATTTAGGAGAAGACCCCTTTCTGTTGCAGTACAAAGCCAGCTGCATAAAGACATGGTTTGATGAGTTTGAGGTGGAGGAACTTGAGTGTCCTCCACAGAGTCCTGACCTCAACCCTACAGGACACCTTTTGGGATAAATGTGAATGGCAATTGTTAACCGGTTCTTCTCACCCAGCATCATCCTGGCCTCGCCTAATATTTTGGCTGAAGGGGCAATGCCTATGGGTTTGGAATGGGATGTCCAACATGCTCATATTGATATGATGGTTG